GGGAGCCGGCCGAGGCCCAAGAGGCAGCGTGGGCTGCCCGCCTTGCCTGCCCGTCCCCGCAGGGTGCAGGAAGGGGTCTGGCCAGCGTGCCCCCCATCCTCACTGCAGTCTGTCCGGCCTCCTGGACTGGACGCCGCACAGCAGCCAGCAATCCTGCCCCAGTGTAAACCCGCTGGCTCCACGGCCCTGCAGCAGGGAGGGTGTCTTTCCCAGGGCCACCGCCATCTGCAGGGCTGTGCGCAAGCCTCACCGGCTGTCCCCGCCCCACCTCTCTGCGACCCCTTCATCCCTTCTCTCTCAGCTGCTGCTCGGGGCAGTGCCTGGTCTGTGCACATGGTGTGCAGTGTCCAGGACTGGCACGTGGTAGGCACTTGATAGAAAGCAGTGTGAGTGAGGGGCGGGCAGAGCCTCCCTCTGTCTGGGGCTTTTGGACTGCAGGCCGCGGCTGTCCAGTGGCACGAGGGCCGGGCGGGCGGGCACCCTGTGTCTCGTGCCAGCCTCCACTGCCAGACGGGCCCAGCCTGTCCCTGGCTGAACTGTTTCCAAGGCAACACCCTCTGCTACCCTGGCCCTGTGCCCTGGGACCCTGGCTCCAAGCACCTCCTCTGCAGGCTGGGCACTGCTCCTGTTCAGCAGTGACCCGGTCTCTGCTCCTGGCTTGGCAAGGACCGCCTGGTGTGCTCAGAACGGCTCTCGCCTTGAGCCTGCACATTCTTTTGCTTTTGTTTGGGGGAGGGTACTGGACACTGAACCTGGGGTCTGTGTGCTGAGCTACACCCCACCCTTTTTATTTTTGAAACAGGGCCTCTTCAGTAGCTAGGCTGCCCAGGTTGGACTTGAATGTGTGGTCCTCCTGCCTCAGCCTCCCAGAGCACTGGGACACCCTGGGCTCTGCAGTCTGTCTCCCACCCAGCGTGGGCTCTGTGCCCAGGCTGTGCTGGCCCTGGTGATGGCCCTCCGGCTCCTGGACAGACCGGGCACCCCCACCCCTACCCCGGGGCTGGCCCTGCATAGCAACCATCTCACAGCTGCGGGGACACAGGGCCTCCTCCCGGAGGAGGCAGCCACAGCGGGGAAGGGGGCAGGGCAGGTGCGCCCTGGGTGCAAGGCGAGCACCCTCCAGATTATGGGCAGGCAGGCTGCCTGCTGGCCCCAGGCTGACCCCTGCCACCCGCGACCTCCCTCGCCCAATCTAAGACAAATAGGCCAACGCTGCCACACCAGGCCAAGATAACTAAAACAGCTGAAATGATTTTCCCTCCCACACTCGCAGCCAGTGGGGAGGGGGTGGGCTGCTATCGGCCCATCTCCGCTGTCCATCCGGACAGGCACCCTGCCTCAGCTGCTGATAACCAGCTCGAGGTCCGCGTGGAAACCCGGCCTGCGAGATTAGCCGGCGCCCGGCCTGAGCCACGTGGAGGGCTCCAAGCGGCAGAGCATCCGGGAGGGGCTGACTCCAAGCACAGCCTCGGCCCCAGCCCCACTCTCGTAGGAAGCTGACCCAGCACCCTCAAAGCCCCTAGTGTCCACATTTTACAGCCAACACCGGGAGGCCACGTTGGGGGTAGGCTGAGTGGGGAGCATTCGCCTGGGTTTGACCCCCACACCACAAAGAGAAAAAGTCAAGGCCCTGACTCAGTTCTTGGCCCTGAGCCCTAGCCCTGGCCACCAGCCCCCAAAGACTCCAGCCATTCATCCTACACTGCCTCCCCCCCGGCCACTGCAGCAGCTACGTGGCCTCTCCCTGCACCTTGGTGCCCCAGGGACAGCACGCTCAAGGACAGTCCTGGTTCCACTGGGCTCCAGGCCGCCCTCCCACCTGGTGACTGGACAGACAGACGGGGGAGACGGGCCAGCCTGTGTCCCAGTCCCTGGTCCACCCAGTTTTGGGCAGGCTTGTGTGGGTGGGGTGGCCTCGCTCCTTCCTCACCTTCTGATCCCTGGACTTGAGGACAGGCCAGGACCCTGATTGGGCCAGGACCCTCCATGTCCTGGCTGGCCAGCATATCTGCCCGGCCACTGCCTTCTGACTTTAAGCAGGGATGGAAGGAACAGGACACAGGTACCGAGGCACTGCACGTGGCCCTGCACGGTGACCCCGGCTGCCCCACCAAGAGGATGCAGACTGTGGTTCCCTCCATTTGCATATCAGAATGCTAAGCAGCCAGCCTTCAGCACAAGGGCATTTCAAAGATAAACTCAGCCTCTTCCTGCCTGCACATCCCGCTCCAGCCAGAATCTGGGCTGGGGGCTCATGGAGGATGAAGGAGTGGTGGCTCGGCCTGCTCTGCCCTCCCCTAGGTGGCCGTGGACGCCCTGCAGTACCTGGGCTCACGGCCCTTCTTCCCTGACACATGCTCCCTTTTCCACGTCAACACAGCCTGGGCCCCGAATCCGACCCCCTGGCCTCACGGCAGCCTCCCCTCGGCCCCTTGTTTCCCTCCATGTCTTTGGTGCCTTCAGCAGCACCCCTGTTGCCCAGGAGAAACCCAGACCATTCCTCAGAGCTGTCCGGAGCCAAGGCAGGGCTGGCTCCCTGCACATGGTAGGGACCCAGGTTGGGTTTTCTGCTGCAGCCCCCACATCCATGGCAGGACTGCTGCTGCACCCGTTCCCTGGAGGAAGGCGTGAGGCCTCCTGTGATGCTGCCTCCTGGCTGGTCCTGCCTGGCCACTGGGGCGCTGGTCACTCACTCCAGGCTGCTGCAGGAGCCTGTGACCCCCACTGCCCGCCCCTGCCCAGAGGGACCAGGTGGCCCTGGGTGGGAAGACATGCTGACTCTCCCAGGTTGCTTCCTGGCCACGTCACAGAGTGGAGGTCGCAGCCCTTGGCTTGCATTCCTGCCTCTCAAACACGCTGGGCTCCTGTTCCAGGCAGTGACACTTAGTACAAAGCTGCCAGCAGCGAGCTCTTGAGAAGCAAAACAACACTGCTGAGTGCCAGCCTGGTCTTTTTCGGGGGCTGGGGTCACCAGGTAGCAGGTGGGGTTACCAGGTCCTGCTGGGGCCTGCAGCAGGGCCAGGAGACAGTGGAGAGTATGATGGTGGCTTCTCACATGCCAGGTGGAGCACCTGTGTCTGCAAGGCCCTCCTGGGAGTCCCGGGTGGGAACAGGGCCGGGACACCTCCTTTCTGCATGCTGCTCCTCAGGTACCTCCCACAGGCCTTCCCGGCCACCTGCCCCAGGCTGGGCCACCAGGAAACTGCAGAAGCCATGGCCCACTCTGAGAGATGGCCCTGGGAGTGGCATGGTCCCAGGACTCTGTGGGCCTGGTCTGGCCAGCAGATGGCAGCCAGCATGGCTGGGCACTTCACAAGCCAACCCTCAGGTGAATGAAATCTGAGGGCCCAGTCCCTCCCTGGAGCCAGCCCCCTGGAGGTGCCCCCAGAGAGAAGGTGTGGCACCTCCCAAGCAGGGTTCCCAGGCCAGGACTGCTGGGCGGGGCTGTGTTCATCCCTCACTAGGCGGAAAGCAGCTCACAGGAGAGGGGACCCAGGAGACCCGAGAAAGTAACAGACGAGGGGCAAGGTGGCCAGGTCCTCTGTGTCCTGCACCAGGCAGGCAATGTCCACGGGCCCCGAGCCACAGGGCCCCTGAAGCCCTGACGCCCATCACTGGCACAGTGGCCCTAGGAGATAACCCCGCTGGGGCTTCAGCTTCCCCTGCGATAAGGGGCTGTGCGGGGCCTGATAGGCGGTGGCTGGCAGGGCGGTTGGCTAGCGGCTGCCTATCGGCCCATCGCTGCCCACTGCACAGAAATTCCTATCTGTGGGTGCTGACGGGAGCTACTCGGTCACCAGATAGCGCAGGAAGTGGGGGTGCCCCACCCCAAACCATGGCCGCGGCTGCCACGGGGTCAGGCTCAAGCCGAAGGGCTGTGAGTCCCCTCTGAGGAGGAGGCTGAGCACCAGCCCGGGAGGGGACGGACAGGGAGACTGATGCCGGCTCACACCCCAGGGCCTTCCACTGGGGAGTCCGGACTTGTCCCTCACTGCCAGGAGCCAGGGTCTCCTCATCTGGAGTGCGGTAGGCAGCACACCCGCTTCCCACACATCCATGCAGCCACACAGACATCGCCAGCTGTGCCCAGTGTTCTCCCCGATCCCTGAGTCCCACCGGGAAGCCCCCTGGCTGGCTGGAGTCCAGCTTCACATCCTTTTCATCCTGGCCCCCAGGGTCCCAGTGCAGGAACAGGAGTTCCCTGCCTTGGCAAAGCCTTTCCTGGTCTCCAACAAGGCCAGGCCCTTGCTCCCTACAGCTCTGGAGCTCAGAGGACTGCTTCACACAGGGCAGGTGCTCAGTGAGTGCCTGCCGTGTGCACACGTGGACCTGGCCTGCGTGCGTGGCCTCTGCGTCACCTTCCTGGGTCACGGGCCATGCCAGCTCCTCCTCACAGTGCCCTCCTGCCCACCCCGGCTCCCAGCTGCTAATTTACTGATCAGGAGAGACAGCAACAACCCCACCCAGCTTCCCTAGCTCTCGGTGGAGGCGTCCGCCCAGAAGCAGTGGCTCCAAGAAGGACGTTTGGTCTCCAAGCTGCCCCAGGCTCTCTGCAACCCAGCCCGACATGCAGCTTGCAGCCCATCTACCAGGAGGGGCTGGGGAGAGCGGTCCTTGCCTGTCCTGGCCAGGGCTCCATTATGCTGGGAGGGCCGGGCACCCCTGGCACCCCCCATAGTCTCCTAGGGATGCCAGGTCTGGCCAACTCCGCTTGCTCCATGTTCCCGGTCAGTGACACCCTTCTCCGGGAACCTTCCAGACACTTCTGCCTCACCACTCAGGGCAGGGTCCTGCTCTGGGCACGGCCACGCTGGTGACCGCCTCCTGCACAGCTCGCCACATAGCCCACCAGGAAAGGTGATGGGACCCAGGGACAGGCCAGCCCTGGGGCCTCTATGACCCAAGCACCCCGAGCGGTCCTGTTCCCAGTGGGCCCTGAGCCCGGCTACCTTGGGACAAGGCGCTGGGGGACCCCATTGCCAGTTACCTGGCCCAGCCCAGGGGCTGGCTGCCTCCTCTTGCCGCGTCTCGGGCCCTGGACCCTCCATTTCCTCGGGGGCTCCCAGGGATGTGGGGTGCGCTGGCGCTGGAGATGGTGCCAGGGGTGGATTCACGTCTGCAGAGAGGAAAACACCATCACGTCCCTGAGCCTCTGGTGCCCAGCAGTCTTCCTTGTGGCTAGGAGGGAAACTGAGGCTGGACGCACAAGCAGAGCCAGAGTCTCTGCCCTCCTGGCTGCCTCTCCTAGGAGGGGAGCAGGGAGGAAATCCCCATTTTCCCTGCAGCCTTTCACCCCCACCAGCCGCCTTGTGAGCTGCCGACGTGGTCCCAGCTGCTGCTGCAACTCACACAAGGCCACCAGGTGTGCTGGGCAGCGGCACTCGGCCGCCGGTCTCCACGGCAGCGGGGCCCCTCCGCCGGCCCCACACCGACGCCAGCCCAAAGGGCATATTTGCCTTCCCAGTGGGCTGATTACCACCACGGCCCCCAATCGATGCGCTTCCTTAAAGCCCCCCGTGACGTCACATGCCGGCAGATTATTAATACCCGCGATAAGGGCTGTGATTAACATCAAATAAATCAATCACGCAGTATAAAAGTCCTATTATTTTTGGCTATAAATCAAAGTGGCTGGCATTTGAGCTCCAGCCACCGTGAGGCAGCCGTGCTGGACCCGCCTGTGCGCAGATACGCTCCCTCCCGCGCCTTATCACGCCCATCGCTGCGTTATCACCATGGCCGGTGCCAGGTGCAGCCCAGGCTGTTTTCTCCAGCCCGTCCTGGCCCCACCCGCCCCCCGTGCAGCCCCAGCTCCCAGATCAGATAAGGGCCGGCTCCCCGGGAAGCCACCGGTCAGAGTCCACCAGCTAGCGCACTGCCCTTTGGCAGCTTGCGCCGGGCCTTCCATTAGAACAGCGCCTAAGGACAGTAATGCCGGCCACTGACAGTGTGGCTCTGGGTGCCCAGGCAGCCCTCATCCCGCCACCCAGTGCACAGATGCCAAGGCCAAGGCTCAGAGAGGTCAGCAGGTCGGCCTGGGCTGGCCTGCTGCAAAGCACTGTGGGCCAATGGCCACAGAGATAGCAGCAGTGATGAACACTTGGCCATGACCGGGTGCCCACGCCAGCACTGCTGCCCTGTGGCCATGTCCCCAGTGAACTAGGGTAAGGCCGCCTAGTCCACACCACTCCCCCAGGCCCCAGGATGGCCAGGCCAGCAGGCCAATTGCAGGGCCCTGAGGGATGAGGTGGGGGCTCCCAGGGAGTCCACGGCCCTCAGCACGGGAGGGGGGAGCAATGGGGTCACAAGAGAGGCCCCGATGCACCAGGGCCATCTGTCTGGGATCTCCACACACTGGGTCCTTGCTGGCGGGAAGTCCTCCCGGTCCCCCTCGCCCTACAGACTTCCCCATCCCCCATCCTCCTTGCCCCCAGCCACTGCCCCCAACCCTGGCTGTTCCCTGGCTCCCGCCTTTGCCCACTGGTCTGTGGCATGCATGATTGTGGGTCCTGGGGTCTCTCGAGGTCACTGTCTACTCGGCCTTTGTTCAGGTTCACAGCCACAGACATCATCAGAGCTGTGACAACATCTTGGGTCCAGTGGGATGTGATCGCTGTCCTGTGGGGCCGGGTAGGGTTGACTCCCTGCACCTCTGTCCCCATGGAGAGCACCTGGGGTGACTGGAGCACTATCCCCAAGAGACCTGATCCGAGTGGGCCCACCGGAGTCTGCGTGCAGATGGAGTCCCATCCCAGGCCTTTCCCGGGGGAGAAATAGTGCCACCAGAGGGCCTGGGGTGAGAGGCAGCAGGATGGAGGGTCAGGAGCTGAGCCTGGCCTGGGCAGAGCCTCAGGCAGCAGTGAGGAATCTGTGGTCTCTGCCGGTTCTGGAGACATCACCCAGCACTGCCTGGCTCCCAAGCGATGGGTAACGGCGCACACCTGGAGGGGAGGAGTGGCGCTGTGCAATGGCGCCAGGAGCAGCTAGGACTTGGTCTCCCAGGTTTGCCATCCCTGACCTGGGGTGGGGCTGCAGGTGGAGACTAGTCCCACTGCCTCCTGGGCCCCTGCTGCACCCTCCCTTGGCTTCTATCTTCCCACCTGTACTAAGCCACATGTGCAAGTGTCCCTGCCCTGCCCTGGCCAGGGATGGGGCCCAGGGGAAAAGGACAGTGACTCACCGGCAGTGGACGGGCTCAGGGGCTCCGGCCTCCCTACAGCTGTGGGCTCTGGTGCCAGGGCCTCCTGCTCCTCGAGGCTGGTGTCCGGGGCCTGGGCCCCCTCTGCAGTGTCCATATCTCCAGGAGAACCTGCGGACACAGCCCAGGGAGCCGTAAGGACCTCTGGGCATGGCCACACAGGCCTCCCGTCTGGGCAGTCAGGCTGGCACCCACTGTGCCCGAGATCTGACAGGCAAGGCCTCAACTGGGCCCGGCCCTGCTCTCCTCCTTGTGCTCTGACCCCTTGGCATGGACACCAGTCCCACCAGGACAGCTCCCCCCTTGTGTGCCTCCTGCCTGCTCGGCCCCAGCCTAACCCTGGGGCTCAGAAGGACATGGTGGCCCCCCACTCCAGAACCTCACACTCCTGGGCCCACAGGGCCCAAAGCCACCCAGACCCCCTCCTTGCCAGGTGCAGGACCCCACCTCCTTGTGGCCTAGAGCTCCCTGGGCATGGGTACCAGCAGCACCCCAGGCCCATCGTGAAAGGATAAGGGTGCAAGTGAACAACAGCCAGCTGGTGGCACTCAGCGGAGACCGAGGATGCAGGGCAGGGCCGGTCCCGAAGTGGAGGGTGCACTGAGAGGGACCTGGGCCCGAGTGTTGGGGTGCCTCTTGGGCTCCCAGAGGGGACAGAGGAGTCCATGGCATGAAGAGAGCCGTGGCCCAACAGTGTCCCTGCTTGTGCCCACCCTCAGGATCTGACCTGCCCTGGTGCAGCTGAGAGACCTGCAGGCACTGGGCTGAGCACACAAAGCTGTGGCCCAGCTTCCTTCTGGCGGCCTCCAAGCTGTCCACATGGGGCAGGGACACTGCTTCTACCTGAATTGTGCACTACCAGCCACAGGCAGGCAGACAGGGCTGCTGTCATCAGCTCACCACCCCTGGGAGGGCACCTCGTGCCTCCTGCTGCCCTGAGGGTGCAGCAAGCACAGCCGCTGGGCACTACCAGATCGTGGTGGTGGGGAGACAAAGGACCAAAGTGGACCCCAGGCTGGACACAAAGGCGAGTTACAGAGGGCGGTGAGGGTGGAGTGAGGACGCAGCTGCCGTGGAGCTCAGGGGACAGGCGTGGCCCTGGCTGAGGAGGGGCTCGGGGTGGGCAGGGCCAAACTGAGAGGAGGGTGCCTTCCTGTCCATGCTAACCTCAGAAAGAGGCCACCCTCATCTGGGAGCCATGACCAGTGCCAGAAGAGCAGCCCTGGGTTGGGGCCTGCAGCCCCAGCACCCCCAACCCTCGCAGCTACTGCTGGCCGACAGGGAACGCCAGGCGCTTAGCTCTTCGGCCCCTTAGGCAGGCTCAGGGGCTGGGCACACCCATGCCAGCCCAGCTGTGTGCAGGGGAAGTGGGAGGTTCCCCTCCTGAGTGTGGGGAGCCCAGCCCTGGGGACACTGGCCTTCAGGGCAGGGAGGCTTGTGGAGTCCCACCCTTGTGTCTTCTGGGGCTCCTAGGGGTGCCACAGATGACTCCTGCACAGCTGTGGGCCAGCCTAGTGCCCACCCAGGCAGGCCCCAGATGCTCAGGAGCCGTGCTTGGCAGGTCCCCCATTCAGTAGAACAAAAGCACACACTCAGCACAATGCTGCCTATGAGTGTGGAGGAAGAGGCCACAGGCCCTGTGCGGGGTTTATTCCGACGAGGCTGCTAATTCGTTCCAGCACAATTACAACAGCTCTGATAAAGCCAAGACAATTGCAGGTGCGGCCGCACATGGTGGCTTCCTCCTGGGGCCAGGTCTCGGGATCCACTGCCTCAGCCTGCCGGAGTCGAGGCTGTGCCTGCCCGCTGTGGCGGCAGGGTCTGTACCGGCTGTCCCGTGCACCCTGAGCGCCTGCTGCAGGCCAAGTGTCTGCCCACTTTGGCTTGATGCTGCTGCTCCCTAGGTGCCCACTAGGAAAGACTCAGCCACCGAGACCTCACTCTGCGGGGACCCACACACACAGGTCTCCGCTGCGTAGCTGTGGGCAGGCCACCACCTCTCTGCTCAGGGTCCCTGCCTGGGCCACTGGAGCACGCTCAGGGTGCCACGAAGTAAGTGCTGCACACACGTTAGCCATGGCCACCATGGCCCAGCAGGGCAGGGAGTCCGAAGGACACAAACTGCACCGGCATGGGCTCTGCGCTGCAGACTGTCCTCCCTCTCCCCTCACGCAGGCCTGAGGCTCTCTCTCTGTCTCCACTGTAAACAGGGAAACTGAGGCATGGAGGATCAGCGCCAGGTGACATCTGAGCATGTGGGGCGGTGGGGACCCATGGAGCTGGGCCCGCAAGCCAGTCTCAACCTGAATCCCTCTCCCCAGGCAATGTCCCAGCCCCGGAAGGTGTCTGGAGTCACATCCCTGGGTAAACTGAGGCCCAACAGGGTAGACTGAGCTGCCCCTGCTCCTGGGGGACTTGGGGCGACATCAAATGCACCTGACGCACGCAGACTGTCTCTAGGTCCGGATGGGGCCCCGGCGGACAGGCAGTGCCCGAGGCCGCGCACCTGCCAGGGCCTCCATGACCAACACGTGTCACCCGCAGCCGGCGTGTGGGGCGCAGCCCCCACGGTGCCCAGAGCCCCTCGGTTATCGCATTGAGCAGATGCCGCGCACCCGTCCATCTCTTGCTCATTAAGCCGGACGCCGGGATGGAAATGAAAACATAATAGCTATTTGATTGGGGCTGAGATAGTTTGCATATTGGCTCGGCGCTGATAGCGGAATTTCATCAACTCCCTTTTTTCATGCTTTAAAACTGAATTACGGAGACAGCTCTGCTCGGCCAGCTCATCCTGCCCCTCGGCGTCCCCGCTCTCCCAGCCAGGACACTGCTGGGGCCGAAGAGAGGAGGTCCATGATGGGATCCCTGCCACCCCAGCTCTGCTGGGCACAGGGTCTTCCCTCTGCGGCCCCTCCAGGGGTCGCCATCCCTCACCATCACAGCAGAACACGGGCAGCACCATCTCAGCCTTGCCTGTCCTCCCATCCATGCGCCCAGTGGCTCCCTGGTACCTCTTCACTCACTTATTCACTCATCAAACCTTGCCAGTGACCAACACCCACTCAAGAAGAGACAGGAAGGAGGGCACCCTTGGGGCTCCCTGAGGTGGGGGCCAGGGTGGGGAATCTTCCTCATCAGGGTGGGCAAAGCATGAGCAGAGAGGATGCCTGGATGTGCAGGACCAAGGTGCCACTCCTCCCTTTGCCAGTTTCCTCATGGAAAATGGGGGAGGAGCCAGCTGAGGGCTGGCATGGCGTGGCCAGACTGGCCGGAGGTTGTGGACGCAGACTTTGGGCCAAAAGAGCCACTGTCACCATCGGGGTGCCCTCCCCACCGGGCTGGGGGAGGGAGGACAGGGCAAAGCAGAGGTGGGACGAGGGCAGGGTGGGCAGGCTCTGCCAGGAGGAGACCCTGGCCTCCAACACCGAGGGCAGATAAGGCTGATAACAGTGGTAAAACAGCAACAGGTCCAGACTTTCCCACGGGGCAGTGGGCAGCTGGGGCCACAGCGGGGCCAGAGAGGCTGGGTGGGGGTGGCCTACGTGGGAGCTGAGGTGAGCAGGATGCTGCAGCCTGGGTTTGGGTCTCTAGCCGCCACACAGACCCTCAGCTGCGGTGGCTTGGGCAGCACAGCCCCTCCCAGGCCCCAGACACAGGAGCCCTGATCCAGCCACTGCCCACAGGCAGGGTGACAAGGCATGGGCATGGGCGCCAGTGCTGCAGCCCCTGGCCATCAGCCCACAGAGGGTTCCCAGGGCCCTTTCCCGGCAGGATGCATGGCTGGGGACCCTTGGGCACGAACCTCCAGCCACCCCAAACGTGGCCCAGACCCCTTGGCCAGAGCCCTCCCAACATGCTTTCCACAGAGCATCTGCCACTGCTGTCCGCAGATGGCTGGCTCCCTGCTGCTGCCCCGTCAGGGCCCTCCTGCCCCAGAACCTCCACGGCATGGCAGGCCTGCCAGGCAGGCAGAGTGACCACAGCTGGGGAGGGGAAGGCTGGCTGCCCAGCCAGGTGCCTTACAAGGGCTCCATCGGTGGCTGCCAGGTGACAGCTCCCAGAGGGGCAGGGCAAGAGTGCACCCATTTCCCTGCTGGGCCACCGGCAGCTGCCCTGGCCAGGGTCAGGACCACTGACAGCCTGGCAACCGCAAAACAGGATATTGGCAAGATAACCGCTGGATGGACTGAGCAGCACCCTGCCGCCTCAAGCCCCAGCGTCAGCACCTGCAGGGTCCCGAGGGTCACAGGAAGTGGGAATGCAGCCCGGCACAGAGGACCCCCCCCCCACGTGCATACCACTGTGGCAGGGAGCTCACTACTGCCCCGAGGCTGCCCTCTCCACCTCCCTTCTGGTTCCGTCTGCCCTGGGGAGTCAGGCACCATCACGCCATGGGGTGCAGCCACCTGTGTGCCCATTGTGAGTTCCGTCAGGGCCAGACCTGAGGTGTGCTGTGGGCCATGCCAGTACTCAGGCAAGAACTTCACAAGTGCTTGGACTGACAGAGCGGGGCCACCACCTTGAGATGGCCTCACGCTCAGCCCCAGGTGCAGTTCACACACGATGCAGGTTCTCCTGTGCCATTGGGCTTTTCAAGGCCTGAGCGTTTGCTCAAAGTGGTGAGGCCCACGGGGCAATGTCATGTGAAGCAGCTCGTCCTGCCCGAGCCCAGCCCGCTCCCCTCTGGCTCCGGAAAGGGCAGGGGTACCTCAGGCTCTTTTTTTTTTTTTTTTTTTT